GACTGGGGGTCCTGAGGTTGGAAGCCTGGACTCCTGGGTCTCAGTAAGGGATTGGGACCTTGAACTTCCATAGATCCTAGGGAGGAAGAGTCCGGGGTCTGAACTCCTAGATCTTGGGAGGAGGGAGTCGGGGCTTGAACTCTGTGGGTCCTGGGAAGGAGGGGTTGCGAACAGGACTCCTGGGTCTGAGGGAGGAGGGCCTGGGGGCCGGAGGTTAAGGTCCTTGAGCCCCCCTGACCCTACAGGACCATGGCAGCCGTGGGCTTTGAAGAGTTCTCAGCGCCTCCAGGCTCGGAGCTTGCGCTGCCTCCGCTGTTCGGTGGTCACATCCTGGAGAGCGAGCTTGAGACAGAAGTGGAGTTCGTATCTGGGGGTCTGGGCAGCTCGAGCCTCCGGGAGCGAGACGAAGAGGAAGAGGCAGCCCGGGGCCGACGGCGGCGCCAGCGCGAACTCAATCGCAGGAAGTACCAGGCGCTAGGTCGGCGTTGCAGGGAGATCGAGCAGGTAGGTGAGTGCGGATTTCGTTTTGGGGTCCCCTGGCCTAAGTTACCACCCCTGCCCAGTCTCTGCCTATCCACGGGCACAGCGTTCCTTGCCCAACAGGATGAATCTTTCATTCATCATTCATTTATTCCCCACCTGTTACGAATCTGGCACTGTGCAGGGTACCTGGAGTGCTGTCTCCTCTAGGAGCTTCCAGGACTGCCCAGATCAGCTTGCTGATGCCTCACAGGTGCCTCCCCTGCATGTGGAGGCCAGTGTGAGCAGATGCAGGAGGTACAGCCCCTGACGGTCCACAAGATGATCTTTGGGCCGTCTCCCTGGTCCACAGCAGGGGCTCCACTCACCCTCCGTTGAATGGGGGCCAGCTGACCTGTGCTCTCCCACCTCCTGCAGGTGAATGAGCGGGTCCTGAACAGGCTCCATCAGGTACAGAGGATAACACGGAGACTTCAGCAGGAGCGGAGGTAACCCCTTGCACGCCTGCTCTGGCCGGCACACCTCTGCTCCCAGAGCTTGTTTCCACATGCTTCTCATCATTTCTCCACCTTCCCTGTTTGGCCGTCTGGGGCCAGGAGGAGGCCAGGCTGCAGAGGGGGCAGGGGGCTGAGGCCAGCAGGGACCAGGAGTGGGATTGGATCTTACAGGAAAGAGCTGACTGGGCCTGGGGGAAGCAGGTGTGTACCCTCTGAGTGGAAAGTGCAGCAAATGGAGGGGCCCCAGCCTTAAGAATTCCAAACCCAGTTTTAAGCACTGTTGCTATGCTACTCTGAGCAAGCGACTCCCCTCTCAGAGCCCCAGTTTCCTGACAACTAAGGGTGACGCAAAAGTCACACCAAAGCCACAAGGCTGCTGAGGGTGAACAGGAGCTCACAGGATGAGCTCGGCTGAGAGCCTCCATCTCGGGGCACCAAAACCAGGATGGGCATGAGCCTGGGGCCAGCCTGCCCGGGATCCAATGCCAACCCTGCCACTGTGTGTCCCCACTCAGGGAAAATGGGGAGAGTGGGTCTTATCCTGAAGGATTCACTGTGAGGTACTTAAAGTAACCAAACCAGAGACAGAAAGGAAATGGTGGTTGCTAGGGGCAGGGGATGTGGTGATGGTCGCACGACAACGCAAATGCCACCTAGTGCCACTGCACTGTACACTTAAAAATGCTTAAATTAGTAAATCATATCTTACCGAAATTTTTAAAGTTATTTTTTTCAAAAGCAACAAAATGAATAAAATGTAAGGCAAGCCAAGTCACTCCTCTGCTCGAAAGCCTGCAGGGGTCCCCCCTGACTCAGTAGGAGTTGACACCCTTTCAACAGCTAACCACGCCCTAATCAGAGGGCCCATCACATCAGCCTCCCACCCTGCTGAGAACACGCAAGACACGCACCCACCTCAGAGCCTTTGCACTTACTGTTCCCTCCCCCAGAAATGTCCTTGGGCCACTCGCTCGCCTTCCCAGTGAGGCCTCCCCCACTGTCCTTTTCAAGCTCCAATCAGGTGCCATCTATCGTCTCCTACTTTCTTTTTTTTCCTTTTTATTGAATTTATTGGGGTGACACTGGTTAACAAAATTGTACAGATGTCAGGTGCACAGTTCTACAACACATCATCTGTGCACTGTATTGTGTGTTCACTATCCCGAGTCAGGTCTCCTTCCATCACAATTTAGTCCCCCCTTTACTCTCCACCTCCCGGCATCCCCCTCCTCCTGGCCTCTTTCCTACTTTCTGACCTATTATGATTTGCTGGCTCACAGGTAGCATTTAGTCAGTTAAAGCTTAAAACAAACAAAAACAAAACAGCTTTTAGAAGCAAGGATGGGGAAAGACGACGCAGTCAGGAAGAGCTGAGGTCCCCAGAAGTGTTCTGCACGTGCCTCTCTCCTTTTAGTTATCAATAAAAATAACTTACACTTGAACATTTGCTAGGCCACCATCCCACTGAGTGCTCTAGAGACCATGTCCAGTTGTGGTGTCCCTCACAGCCGTCCCCACAGTCAGGGTTGTCATCTCCCATTGACAGCAGGAAGCTGAGGCGCAGAGTTCACCTTCTCTTGCCCCAAGTCCCACTGACTGGACAAGTGCTTGGCACTCAGGTCTCTCAGACCCCAGAGCTCCACACTTTCTGGGCCAAGGACACCTTGGCTTCAGAGGGAACCAGAGCTGGGCTATCAAGTGCCCTTTTCCCCAACTGACCACCAGAAGATAAAGGTGTCACCTGGTGGCTTGTCTCTGGGTGCAGGTTCCTCATGAGAGTGCTGGACTCCTATGGCGATGACTACCGTGCCAGTCAGTTCACCATCTTGCTGGAGGTGAGCAGGGGGCTCTCCAGAAGCTAGGTGAGCTGGGAGCCCAGGACACAGTCTTCACCTGCCACCTGTCTCCCCACCAGGATGAGGGCAGCCAGGGCACCGATGCTCCCACCCCAGGCAACGCTGAGAATGAGCCTCCGGAGAAAGAGGAGCTTTCCCCACCCAGAAGAACGCCGGCACCCCTAGAGCCCAGCAGCCCTGCCCCTGGTGAGGGGCCCAGTGGGCGAAAGAGGAGGCGAGCGCCCAGGGAAGGACGCCGAACGGGAGTCCCACTGACTCCAGAACTGGCCCCCGTGCAGGTGGGAGACCTGGAGTCCAGGGACCAGGCAAGGAGGCACCAGGGCTGCAGGCTTCACAACAGGCCTGGGTG